CCTCCCTACTGTCCCCCAGCGCTTCTACTCGTGCCCCACCCCTCCTACTCCCCATTCTCCTGTATTAGGGTTTGGGGGTGCGGGGTATGGGGGTGCACCCACTGTGTACTGTTCCCTGCTCCTCCTCCTCCTCCGTCTCCCTGTGCTGCAGCTGCCGCTGAGGGGGGGTGGACGTGTTGGAGCCGGTGGAGTGGTACTAAGGGGGGGTGAAGGGGGAGTGGAGCTAGCGGTGTAGCAGCGGGTATGTGCCAGGGGGGAGTGGGATAGTTTGGGGAAGCTGAATGGAGGTTGCCGTCGTGTCGCCAGCAGCACCTGTATTCCGGGGACTTCGTCCGGTAGCCCAGTCGTAGCCAGCTGTGCCAGCCGCCCGTGGGTCCGTTGCTCGTCTGCCGCTACTTTAGCCGCGGGGCCTGTTACTCCTGTATTCCGGGGACTTCGTCCGGTAGCCGCTGTGCCAGTCTGCCTCCTGTTGCCTGTGTGTCTGCAGCTTCAGCCGTCGCCTCCTATCTCCTCTCCTCTCACTCTCTCTCCTCCTCCTCACTTGCCCGTTGTGACTACCACTAGCTTTGCTCATAATTGTGAACTTAAACTATTGCTTCTTGAACTTGTGCTCAGAATGTGTGGTGACATTGTGATCCACCCTGAGCTTGTACTCCTTTGCTTACTCTGCTGATTACACCCCACTTTGGCTATGGGGGTGTGTCAGAATGTTATCTTATGCTCTAGCTTGTAGTGGGGTGCTCTATAGCGAGTACAACCCTTCTAGGGTTTGCTATTTGTATCCTCATTCTTGCTAGTGCAATCCTCTTCTTTCTTCTAAACTTTAACACGCACATCCCTCTAACACACGGTAGCCAGTGCCTAGCAGCAGGAACACACTCCGCTGCCTTCTCCGGCGCTGGACTACCACACAGCCCAATCATCGCACTTCGAGTAGTATTCGACTAATGTATCATGAATACGCCTTGTGTTCAGATTTGCTCCCGAAACTACACGACCAACTCATCACCATGATCTCGCAATCTCGCGCCGATTCGACGATTCGAACATATGAGCCCTACTGGGCCAAGTTTCGGGCTTTCTGCACGAAAGTGGACCTCCCTTTTCTTCCCACGTCCGACATGACCCTCGCGCTATACCTGGTGTACGCAATCCAACGCAAAGCGACCTTGTCCGTAGTGCAGCTCACGTGCTCAGCGGTCAGCTTCGCCCATCGCATGACCGGAGGCAAATGCCCGACTGTCGGGCCGTTCAGCACCCAAGTACGCGACTTTGCGAAACGACACTGCCCCCGCCCTAGTCGTCTGAAGGAGCCTGTGTCGATCCAACAAGTTCGAGACATGTCCGCGAGCTACCTGCAGTCGGAAAATCCCGCTGAATTTCAGAAGGGGTTGATCCCTATCCTCATGTACTCTGGATTTCTGCGATACTCCGACCTGGTAGCCATCAAATGGCAAGACATCCAATTTGACGACGAGGTCATGTGGATCCTCATACCACACTCCAAGACGGACCAGGCTGGCCATGGAACTTGGATACCCATCTCAGCAACGGCAGACCCTTGGTGTCCCGTGCGCTACACCCGACGCTTTCTCCAACTCGCTGGCTATGGCCCGCAATCGGAGGGGCCGTTGATTCGCGTTTTCAGCCACGCATCAGCCAACGAGGGCCAGACAAGGCCACCGTCGTACACGACAATCCGGAACTGGTGTAAAGAGGCCTTCACAAAAGTTGGACTCGGAGAGCAGCAGCTCGGCACGCATTCCTTCCGAAAGGGCGCAGCAACCGTAGCAACAAACACCGGCGTGCCAGACAGGATCTTTAAAAGGCTGGGTAGGTGGCGAAGCGACACAGCCAAGGAGATGTACGTCACGCCATACGTCGAACCTCTGATCAAGGCCTCTCGCGACCTACAGGATCCGACACATGCATTGTCCTCACAGCAGCATGCAGAGGCACTTGCGCGCAACCGAAAGCCCCCGCTCCCCATGTCTCAGAGACCCCAGTTGCAATGAGAACGATGCCAAATTACAAGGAACAGAAAGCAAGCTTTCTCAATATTATAATTTTTAAACACATTCGTGTTTTTCAAAATTGTGTATTGTGAAAACGAAGCTGCATGTACCGAATATTTGGCAGCGTCGAAGCGCGCTAAACGCCCTTCTCCAACTACAAAAACCCTGGGTTGGAGTTCATTTCCCTCCACCCACGTTTCTCTATTTTCAACGGCTCTATCAACATTCCCACCACCCACCCCAGTACCATCTAACGTACCACAGTCACTTGGACGGATGGCTCCATAGCTAGTATAGTTAATTATGTACTAGCATGTGTTTAAGAACGATGCACATGTTGTAATAAGCCAGTTGCAGCAGGGTTTGACTACAGTGCATGCGATGAGGCTTTGTACATCGGGTTTGTTGATAAAGAGCCTGTGTTTGTGGATGACCTCTTGCTTGTGTCTCCACGCTTGGCGCTGATCGGTCAGGTTAAGGAGGTGCTTGCTCAGAGGTACCAGATGAAGGTTAATAAACATATGTAGTGGTAGATCTACACTAAAGTAGTGTAGAATACATTGGTTGGGTTGGGAGAACTTGTGGTGTACACTCTTTAGAGTGGACCATTTCCCAAACCCTCTAGGTTTGGGTTCTCTCTTGTTGGAACTTCACTTCTTGAAATCTCCCTTAGGTTCTAGCATGGTTCATGCCCAAATTGGTTCGTAAGATTCCTAGGTCGTGTTCCTACGGACCCCTATCAGGCTAACCCCTTGTCAGGCTGGTGCATGCGAGCGATTTCGTTATTAACACCGTTTTCCAGACTTGAAAAATTACAATGCTGTTCGATGAATTGGTCGAGCGAAATCTTTGACACGTGCTGTTCAGTGACCCTTGTCAGGCAATCGCGCGAAATCTTTCGAAGGTGCTATTTCAGCGAGCCATGGTCAGGGAATCGTGCGAAATTCTTCACACATGCTGTTTTTGTCAGAATGTTATTCTCTAGCCTGTAGTGGGGTGCTCTATAGCGAGTACAACCCATCTAGGGTTTGCTATATGTATCCTCATTGCTGCTAGTGAACTCCCCTCTTTTGCCTAAACTTCTCTTGCCTAGCTAGGACTTACCTAGCTATGGCTCCTAACTCTACCTACTATCTTCACATGGTATCAGAGCATCTACGCTCCTGGCCTGTGGGCCCACCTAACTGCTTCCGCTGCTACTCTGTGTGTTGCACGCCCCGTGGCGTGCGACGGATTTCTCTTCCCGCCGCGCGCTCGGAGCGTGCAGCGGTTTTCTGCCCGCCGTGCGCCCCGAGGCGCGCGGCGGTTTTCTGCCCGCCGTGCGCCCCGGGGCGTGCGGCGGTTCTCTGCCCGCCGTGCGCCCCGAGGCGCGCGGCGGCCTTCTGCCCCGTCGGTCCGCGCGTCGCCCCCGGGGGGCGCTTCGACGGGCGACGGGGACCAGCCCGTCGTCCCCCGTCGCCCGTCCTGGCCAGCGCGGGCTGCGCTAGCCCCGAGCGCGGCCCGTACGGGCTGCGCCAGGCCCGCGCGCGGCTCGGGCTGCCTACGCGCGGTTCGTCGGGCTGTGCCAGGCCCGTGGGCGGCCCGTTCCTCTCTGTCCCTGAGCTGTTCGCTGTCCCCCGTGCTTCTGACGGTGCCCCACCCCTGCTGCTGCCCGTTCTCCTGAATTAGGGTTTGGGGGTGAGGAGTGTGGGGGTGGCGGTTGTGTGTTACTCCCCTTGCTCCTCCTCCTCCCTGGTCTCCCACTGCTGCAGCTGCCGCTGAGGGGGGTGGGTGTGTGGGAGCCTAGGGTTTCGGGTTTTAGGGGGGTGCGTGGGAGTGGAGCTAGGGTTTGAGCAGTGGGTGTGTGTCGAGGGTGTGGAGCAGTTGGAGGAGGTTGTGTGGAGGTACCTGTCGTGTCGCCTGCAGCGCCTGTAGTCCGTCGCCCTTGCTTCGGTAGCCAGTGAGCCTGCTGCACCAGTCGCCAGTGGGTCCGTTGCTCATGCCGCTCTTCTATAGCCGCCGAGCCAGTTACTCCAGTAGTCCGTCGCCCTTGCTTCGGTAGCCTCTGAGTCAGCCGCTCCTGTGCCCGTGCCTCTGCAGCTTCAGTCGTTGCCTCCCATCTTCTCTACCTCCACAGCTCCTCCTCCTCCTCACTTGCCCGCTGTGATTAGCTCTAGCTTTGCTTACCTTTGCGAACTCCTGCTCTATACCTGCTTGCTCATTGTACTGATTACACCCCACTTTGGCTATGGGGGTGTGTCAGAATGTTATTCTCTAGCCTGTAGTGGGGTGCTCTATAGCGAGTACAACCCATCTAGGGTTTGCTATATGTATCCTCATTGCTGCTAGTGAACTCCCCTCTTTTGCCTAAACTTCTCTTGCCTAGCTAGGACTTACCTAGCTATGGCTCCTAACTCTACCTACTATCTTCACAGTTTTGTCGGTTATGAAACATACAAAGACGTTTCCGCCAAACACACGTCACGATCGCCTGGAATTTGTCTGAACTCGGAATTTTTTTCCTTTGCAACCTTTCGAGACCGTTGCGCAGTGCCACGTCACCCAACGCATTTTGTCGCGCACTTCACAAACGATCAAAACGTCTAATACAAAATGCGTTTAATCCGAAATTCTGGTGTTTGAGGCGAGTCTGACGAGGGGCTGGCCTGATAGGGGCCCGTAGGAACACGCTCTTAGAAGGAGGTTCAGCTATAGCTTCCGCTAGTAGCCTAGACCATTCTAATATGGTTCTGAGACTACTATACATTCAGTCAGTTCTTGTATGGTTATCACATTCTCGTTATGATCATCTGTCTTAGCGCAAATCGTATGTTACTGTCTCTGTCAAGCCTAGAAATGAGCCGCACAAACCAACTGTGCGAAGTCTTTTGCAAACACCTAAAATCAATTCCTCTGATTATCATTCGTGCAGCACTCCTTGCTTGCTTCTCCTTCCTGCCCCTCCTTCCTCAGCCCCCCACCCAGCATCCCATTCTTTCCACTATTTCAATTCACTGCATCCTTTTCGTCCACAACCCACTAAGGGTCACACATACACCTGCACTCATGTTACCCATGCTTCCCTCCCAAGTGCAACAACCATGCACCAGCTCCCTCGTCCCTCGTGTTATCTGCGCCCTCGGTCCCGATCTCTGCTTCTCTCTCTGTCCCAGTCCCTCTCTCCACCCCTGCCCCTCTCCCTCTCCCAATCCCTATCCCTGTCACGATCGCGGTCCCTGCCCCGGTCCCTGTCTCTGTCTCTCTCCCTGTAGCTGTCTCGGTCTCGCTCCCTCTCCCTGTCCCTTACTCCATCCCTATCCCTGTCCCTGTCCCGGTCCCTATCCCTATCCCTGTCCCGATAACCATCCCCATCCCTCTCTTTCTCCCTATCTCTCTCCCTTTCCCTGTCCCTGCTCCTGTCCCGGTCCCGGTAACCATTCCCGTCTCTCTCCCTCTCTCTACCACGGTCCCTCCCCTCTCCACGCCTCTCCTGTTCCTCCTCCTCTTGCAACTCCCACGGCCGGGCATTGCTCCGTCGCTCCGAATCCTGCCAAGCACGGTGTTGAGATGTTTTGAAGGAGAGCACACTGATCCAAAGAAAATGTTTCACACGTGGGTGGGTGGGTGGGGTCGACTCAAGGAAGGCAAATGTGCCGCTGGGCAGGAGGAGTTAGGCTGTGTGAAGTTCACTCGACAGTAAGCTAAGGATTCCAGAAGTAGGAGAGGGGCAGAAGAAGGCAAAAAAACAAACAAAAGACACAAACACACAAACAGCGGCCAAACTTGTGACTCGTGGTACTGCGAACCTGCAGGGCCTACGGCGTTCAGAGACCTCTCATACCAGGTCGATCCTGTCATAAGAAAACCCAGTGCCTCAAGCCACTAATGCAAACCTGGCCGGCCTAAAGGCTCTAAACAAGCACTATAAAAACTCTCACAGGGTAATTCTCGCAAGCTTACAGGCACGAGAAACAACCACGCAAGCGGGCAGCACTCGCACCTGATTCTTGCGGCTGCCCTGTCGATGAATGGTCTTCAGATCCTCCTCCCACAGCGCCTTCCCCATCTTCCCCTCCTCCTTCCCACCCGCTCCCTCCCCTCCACTCGCCCCGCCGTCCCCACCCCCTTTGCCTCCTGCCCCGCCAGCTGCTGCAGCAGCAGCATCAGCAGCGAGCTTCTTGCGGAACTTCTTCTTGAGGTTGCCAAACTCGTCGTACATCTCCCCATCGTCCTGGTGTGAAGTGAGGATCGGGAGAGAGCAGGGGGGGAGCGGAAAGGGGTGGGTTGTTTTGGGGGGCAGAAGTAAGGTCACGTGTATGAGGGGATGCGGGAAAGGTGAGAAGCATTGGGCCTTATGGCCGACGTATGAACAGCAGCTGCTGCAGCAGCGGTATCAGCAGCGAGCTTCTTGCGAAACTTCTTCTTAAGGTTGCCGAATTCGTCGTACATCTCGCCATCGTCCTGAGTGCAGGGGAGATGGGTGGGAGGCGAGTTTTAAGGCGCCTCGAAACTAGACTTCTTGCGGAACTTCTTCTTGAGGTTGCCAAACTCGTCGCGCATCTCCCGTCGTCCTGAGCGAGGGGGTTTGGGGGAGAGCACGGGGGAAAGGAGGAGGAGGAGAGAGGGTGGGGGGGCGGGAGGGGGTTGGGGGGGAGGGGGAGAGGGGGGTGTTGTGGACGTAAGTGGGTCACATGTGCATGGGAGAGATGTGGACCCAGTGGAAATTTTTGGGCTTTAGAGTAAACCCATGAACCGTTTTTGACGTTGCAAAAACTTGTCATACATCTCCCTGCCGTCCGACGGCGAGGGGAGATAAGGTGATGGGGATATGATGGCATGGGGTTGTATGTCCTTGCGAAAAAAAATGGGGAGGTCAGGAGAGGCTGATTCCGTTACCTGCAAATCCAACCACCAATGCCTTGGGAAAAAAAAAAAAAAAAAAAAAAAATCCTGAGATTGCCCAGGACATGCTCGTGTGATGAGTCTATTTTTGAGTCGACTTGAGAATAGATTGCAAAGGTCATCGTCCTTAAAAAGCAAGTGCCAATCAGCACTCAAAGGAAACAATACAGCAAGCAACCATCATGCATTCCATCCCATGGCAAGTCCCATATCATGCAAGTATCATCCACTCCATTCCATAATATCGAGGCAAGTCTCACCCCTCATCCCTTCCCTTTGCTCGTTCCTTCCACGCACCAACCAACGCCTTCCCCAACTCCCAACCACCACCGTCCATCCCCCGAGCACCCCTCCCCCACTCTCCGACCGACCCTTTTTTCTTCCCCAATTCCCCCTCGCACCTCCTCGGCTTCCTTGCGTCGCTTCCTCGTCTCTTCTAGCTCGGCTTCATCCAGCTCCTTGTACCCGCCACCACGGCCCTCCCTGCACGCGAGCGCAGCACGTGAAAAGGAACGGGGAGACAAGACAGGGCACAAGAGTGAAGTGAACGAGACATAGAGGCAACAGCTCGGCTTCATCCAGCTCCTTGTACCCGCCACCACGGCCCTCCCTGCACGCGAGCGCAGCACGTGAAAAGGAACGGGGAGACAAGACAGGGCACAAGAGTGAAGTGAACGAGACATAGAGGCAACAGCTCGGCTTCATCCAGCTCCTTGTACCCGCCACCACGGCCCTCCCTGCACGCGAGCGCAGCACATGAAAAGGAACGGGGAGACAAGACAGGGCACAAGAGTGAAGTGAACGAGACATAGAGGCAACAGCTCGGCTTCATCCAGCTCCTTGTACCCGCCACCACGGCCCTCCCTGCACGCGAGCGCAGCACGTGAAAAGGAACGGGGAGACAAGACAGGGCACAAGAGTGAAGTGAACGAGACATAGAGGCAACAGCTCGGCTTCATCCAGCTCCTTGTACCCGCCACCACGGCCCTCCCTGCACGCGAGCGCAGCACATGAAAAGGAACGGGGAGACAAGACAGGGCACAAGAGTGAAGTGAACGAGACATAGAGGCAACAGCTCGGCTTCATCCAGCTCCTTGTACCCGCCACCACGGCCCTCCCTGCACGCGAGCGCAGCACGTGAAAAGGAACGGGGAGACAAGACAGGGCACAAGAGTGAAGTGAACGAGACATAGAGGCAACAGCTCGGCTTCATCCAGCTCCTTGTACCCGCCACCACGGCCCTCCCTGCACGCGAGCGCAGCACGTGAAAAGGAACGGGGAGACAAGACAGGGCACAAGAGTGAAGTGAACGAGACATAGAGGCAACAGCTCGGCTTCATCCAGCTCCTTGTACCCGCCACCACGGCCCTCCCTGCACGCGAGCGCAGCACGTGAAAAGGAACGGGGAGACAAGACAGGGCACAAGAGTGAAGTGAACGAGACATAGAGGCAACAGCTCGGCTTCATCCAGCTCCTTGTACCCGCCACCACGGCCCTCCCTGCACGCGAGCGCAGCACGTGAAAAGGAACGGGGAGACAAGACAGGGCACAAGAGTGAAGTGAACGAGACATAGAGGCAACAGCTCGGCTTCATCCAGCTCCTTGTACCCGCCACCACGGCCCTCCCTGCACGCGAGCGCAGCACGTGAAAAGGAACGGGGAGACAAGACAGGGCACAAGAGTGAAGTGAACGAGACATAGAGGCAACAGCTCGGCTTCATCCAGCTCCTTGTACCCGCCACCACGGCCCTCCCTGCACGCGAGCGCAGCACGTGAAAAGGAACGGGGAGACAAGACAGGGCACAAGAGTGAAGTGAACGAGACATAGAGGCAACAGCTCGGCTTCATCCAGCTCCTTGTACCCGCCACCACGGCCCTCCCTGCACGCGAGCGCAGCACATGAAAAGGAACGGGGAGACAAGACAGGGCACAAGAGTGAAGTGAACGAGACATAGAGGCAACAGCTCGGCTTCATCCAGCTCCTTGTACCCGCCACCACGGCCCTCCCTGCACGCGAGCGCAGCACGTGAAAAGGAACGGGGAGACAAGACAGGGCACAAGAGTGAAGTGAACGAGACATAGAGGCAACAGCTCGGCTTCATCCAGCTCCTTGTACCCGCCACCACGGCCCTCCCTGCACGCGAGCACAGCACGTGAAAAGGAACGGGGAGACAAGACAGGGCACAAGAGTGAAGTGAACGAGACATAGAGGCAACAGCTCGGCTTCATCCAGCTCCTTGTACCCGCCACCACGGCCCTCCCTGCACGCGAGCGCAGCACGTGAAAAGGAACGGGGAGACAAGACAGGGCACAAGAGTGAAGTGAACGAGACATAGAGGCAACAGCTCGGCTTCATCCAGCTCCTTGTACCCGCCACCACGGCCCTCCCTGCACGCGAGCGCAGCACATGAAAAGGAACGGGGAGACAAGACAGGGCACAAGAGTGAAGTGAACGAGACATAGAGGCAACAGCTCGGCTTCATCCAGCTCCTTGTACCCGCCACCACGGCCCTCCCTGCACGCGAGCGCAGCACGTGAAAAGGAACGGGGAGACAAGACAGGGCACAAGAGTGAAGTGAACGAGACATAGAGGCAACAGCTCGGCTTCATCCAGCTCCTTGTACCCGCCACCACGGCCCTCCCTGCACGCGAGCGCAGCACATGAAAAGGAACGGGGAGACAAGACAGGGCACAAGAGTGAAGTGAACGAGACATAGAGGCAACAGCTCGGCTTCATCCAGCTCCTTGTACCCGCCACCACGGCCCTCCCTGCACGCGAGCGCAGCACGTGAAAAGGAACGGGGAGACAAGACAGGGCACAAGAGTGAAGTGAACGAGACATAGAGGCAACAGCTCGGCTTCATCCAGCTCCTTGTACCCGCCACCACGGCCCTCCCTGCACGCGAGCGCAGCACGTGAAAAGGAACGGGGAGACAAGACAGGGCACAAGAGTGAAGTGAACGAGACATAGAGGCAACAGCTCGGCTTCATCCAGCTCCTTGTACCCGCCACCACGGCCCTCCCTGCACGCGAGCGCAGCACGTGAAAAGGAACGGGGAGACAAGACAGGGCACAAGAGTGAAGTGAACGAGACATAGAGGCAACAGCTCGGCTTCATCCAGCTCCTTGTACCCGCCACCACGGCCCTCCCTGCACGCGAGCGCAGCACGTGAAAAGGAACGGGGAGACAAGACAGGGCACAAGAGTGAAGTGAACGAGACATAGAGGCAACAGCTCGGCTTCATCCAGCTCCTTGTACCCGCCACCACGGCCCTCCCTGCACGCGAGCGCAGCACGTGAAAAGGAACGGGGAGACAAGACAGGGCACAAGAGTGAAGTGAACGAGACATAGAGGCAACAGCTCGGCTTCATCCAGCTCCTTGTACCCGCCACCACGGCCCTCCCTGCACGCGAGCGCAGCACGTGAAAAGGAACGGGGAGACAAGACAGGGCACAAGAGTGAAGTGAACGAGACATAGAGGCAACAGCTCGGCTTCATCCAGCTCCTTGTACCCGCCACCACGGCCCTCCCTGCACGCGAGCGCAGCACATGAAAAGGAACGGGGAGACAAGACAGGGCACAAGAGTGAAGTGAACGAGACATAGAGGCAACAGCTCGGCTTCATCCAGCTCCTTGTACCCGCCACCACGGCCCTCCCTGCACGCGAGCGCAGCACGTGAAAAGGAACGGGGAGACAAGACAGGGCACAAGAGTGAAGTGAACGAGACATAGAGGCAACAGCTCGGCTTCATCCAGCTCCTTGTACCCGCCACCACGGCCCTCCCTGCACGCGAGCGCAGCACGTGAAAAGGAACGGGGAGACAAGACAGGGCACAAGAGTGAAGTGAACGAGACATAGAGGCAACAGCTCGGCTTCATCCAGCTCCTTGTACCCGCCACCACGGCCCTCCCTGCACGCGAGCGCAGCACGTGAAAAGGAACGGGGAGACAAGACAGGGCACAAGAGTGAAGTGAACGAGACATAGAGGCAACAGCTCGGCTTCATCCAGCTCCTTGTACCCGCCACCACGGCCCTCCCTGCACGCGAGCGCAGCACGTGAAAAGGAACGGGGAGACAAGACAGGGCACAAGAGTGAAGTGAACGAGACATAGAGGCAACAGCTCGGCTTCATCCAGCTCCTTGTACCCGCCACCACGGCCCTCCCTGCACGCGAGCGCAGCACATGAAAAGGAACGGGGAGACAAGACAGGGCACAAGAGTGAAGTGAACGAGACATAGAGGCAACAGCTCGGCTTCATCCAGCTCCTTGTACCCGCCACCACGGCCCTCCCTGCATGCGAGCGCAGCACGTGAAAAGGAACGGGGAGACAAGACAGGGCACAAGAGTGAAGTGAACGAGACATAGAGGCAACAGCTCGGCTTCATCCAGCTCCTTGTACCCGCCACCACGGCCCTCCCTGCATGCGAGCGCAGCACGTGAAAAGGAACGGGGAGACAAGACAGGGCACAAGAGTGAAGTGAACGAGACATAGAGGCAACAGCTCGGCTTCATCCAGCTCCTTGTACCCGCCACCACGGCCCTCCCTGCATGCGAGCGCAGCACATGAAAAGGAACGGGGAGACAAGACAGGGCACAAGAGTGAAGTGAACGAGACATAGAGGCAACAGCTCGGCTTCATCCAGCTCCTTGTACCCGCCACCACGGCCCTCCCTGCATGCGAGCGCAGCACATGAAAAGGAACGGGGAGACAAGACAGGGCACAAGAGTGAAGTGAACGAGACATAGAGGCAACAGCTCGGCTTCATCCAGCTCCTTGTACCCACCACCACGGCCCTCCCTGCGTGAAAAGGAACCACACACGCGGGGGAGGGAAGCGGAGGAGGAAGTGGGACCGTGGGGTGTTGGGGAAGTCGGAACGGGGAATGGGGGAGGGGGGGAGGGGGGGGGGGGGGGGGGGGGGGAGGACAACAGGGCACAACAGCGAATGCCAGCGTGGGGCAAACCGCTTGGACAGTCCCATTACCCGCATTTGTTTTTCTTTTTACCGCCAAACTTTCCGTTGGCGGCTGGGCTGGTTGACTACCTCTTGGTTGGCTGTGTAGTTATTCACACCATTCCTTTGAGCAGGTGGGGAGGTGGGGGGCGCGGAAGAGAGCATGCTCACCTGGCGCCCCCCTCGCTGGTCCCAGGGCGGCTGGTGTTGCAGATGTTGCACTTGGCGCGCTTTGCCCAGTTCATGTTGCCACACCTGTGCGCGCACACACAGGGGAGCAGGCGCAGGAGGAAATAGAGGGGGGGGGAGGGGGGAAACGCGGGGGAAGGTGGGGGGGAAAAGGGGCAGGGGGAGGAAGTGGTCAGGGCGAGAAGAGCAGGCGGGCATACACAATGTATAATGGACAAGACCAGCACAGCAGTAGCAGGAGGAGAAGCGTGGCACACACGTATACGGGATCTGGGTTAAGATTAGCTTGTGTGATGGGAGGTGCAACAAAACACGGTTGCCAGTCGAACTCTTCTCTGATCTGATCAGATCTGCTTAACATGGTAATGGCGTTACTTGCTGTTGAAAATTTCTTAAAAGCGACTCCGATATAGCTGTATGCACAGCACTTATGATAGGTGCACAACATGATGGCCCAGACATGCTGTTGCTATTAGTAGGGTTTGGGGCAGGTAGGGTGAGCAGCGCAGCAGTAGCCTCGTGCAATCCGGCCGTGGGATCGGGTAAACATGAGACTGAGAAAGGACGTTACTTGAACTCTAGTTGGATAGGCAAAGCAAGGAAGTTCAGGAGGTCGAATATCGGAATATGTGGCGCACCTCGTTGTGGAAAAAGAAAAGGCACGGAAAAGGGGTAGGGAGGGCGAAGTCAAGTACAAATCAAGGCACGTTAACTCACATGGGGCACGGCCAGTCCATTGGTCCGAACAGCCCTGGGGGACCCCCGAATCCTCGACCCCCTCTCCCAGAGTCGCCCCCTCTCCCCCCTCTGCCTCCCCCCCTCCCCATGCCTGCTCCCCCTCCCCCTGCGCCTCCCCCTCCCCCTGCTGGTCTGGGCGTGGCACAGCGATTGCACTCCCCCCGAAAGGCAAAGTTCACATTGCCGCACCTGGGGAGAGAGGGGGCGACAGGGGGAGTAGAGGAGAGAATAGGAAGGAGAGGCGGGGATGGAGGGGTGAGGGGGGTGGAGGGTTGAGAGGAGGGAGGGGGGAAGGAGGGGGTTACTGAGAGAGATACAGGGCCGAAGGGCGGGCGCAAGCGTTCATACGTTAAGGCCTCGCGTAGATAAGCAAAACGGGGAGAAGGAAGTGCGTGGAGTGGGGCGAGGAGGATAACTGATGGTGCCTCTGCTGTTTAGGAACGCTGACTGAACAGGGAGTGAGAGGAGGAGTAGGGGGCGTGGGATGGAATCATGGAAGGAGAGGGATCTTGCAGCAAAACCAACAAGGAGAGGGATTGAACCAACCACCCAAACGTGTGATAAGTCGATTTTTGAGTAAACTCAACAAATCGAGTAGGGGGCGTGGGATCTTACAGCAAAACCAGCACTATGGAACGAACCACCCAACCACCCCACCACACTTTTCCCATGCATTCCCTTCCTCCCCCATCCATTCTCCCCATGCCAGAGCAATCCCACCCAGCCGTGTCTCGACTCGAGCACCTCCGCACAGCACACCAAGGCATCCCAAGGAGGCCGTTACGTTACACACACTCCCCCAATGACACGACACGGCACGACACGACACGGCACGACACGACACGACCCGGCACGACACGACACGGCACGGCACGACACGACACGACACGACATGGCACGTACGTTGCATTGGGACACATCCAGTCCCCCTGCTGCTGCCACGGCTTCCCTTGCGCTGCCGCCGCTACCGCCCCACCATCACCACCACCACCGCCCCTCACCTCCCCTCCGCCACCCCCCTCCTCGCCTCTCCCGCTCACATCCCCGGAATGCCCAAACCCATTCCCCCCTCCCCCGGCACCACCCGCACTGCCATGCTTGGTCTGAGCGAGCGAGACAGCAATAGTGCGGCCGTGAAAGTCCTTGTTGTGGAACCAGTCGACGGCGGCGGCGGCAGCAAAGGGGTCCTCGTACGTGACGGTGGCGTCGCCCTTGAGCGCCATGCTCTCCTTGTCGCGATACAGCCACACCTTCGCCCGCCCCGTGCGCTTGTCCCTCTGTGGGAGGGGTGCAGGGGGGGGAAGGAGGGAGGACGGGGGGGGAAAGGAGGGGGGATGGGGTGGGTGGGGGGGAAGGGGGGAGTGGAGGAAACGGGGAAAGGGAAGGTGGAGGTTGAGGGGAGGAGGGGGAGGAGAACGGGGATGGAGGAGGACGGCAGCAAAGGGGTCCTCGTACGTGACAGTGGCGTCGCCCTTGAGCGCCGTGCTCTCCTTGTCGCGATACAGCCACACCTTCGCCCGCCCCGTGCGCTTGTCCCTCTGTGAATGAGCGGAAGGAGGGGAAGCGCGGGGGAGGGAATCGCGGAAAGGGAGGGGAAAGGGGAGGGGAGAGGGGAGGGGGGAGGGGGGAAGGGGGGAGGGGGAGGAAAGCACCATTACCTTTTCCTCTCCACAACCTCACCCCGTCACTTCAGAAAACCCCAGAACCATTCCCTCATTCTATATCAACGAATCTCCAAACACGTGTACCTAACCCGACCCAAAAACTCCCTTAAACCCCAGCCCACCCCCACCTTAATCCCCCACGTTGACGGATCCGGTGCTGCACACATGCTCGGCTAGTTATTCCTCACGCGCGCCCTTCACTCATTGAACCCCGCGGCGCTCCCCAACCCAACCCCAGATTCCCGCCGATAGCCCCCCAGCCCAGCTCATGTTGCCTGTCTATTACCCATACGTCCCTTCCTCTACGCCCATCCGCCCACATCCGCCCATCCGCCCATCCGCCCACATCCGCCCATCCGCCCATCCGCCCACATCCGCCCATCCGCCCATCCGCCCACATCCGCCCATCCGCCCATCCGCCCACATCCGCCCATCCGCCCATCCGCCCACATCCGCCCATCCGCCCATCCGCCCACATCCGCCCATCCGCCCATCCGCCCACATCCGCCCATCCGCCCATCCGCCCACATCCGCCCATCCGCCCATCCGCCCATCCGCCCATCCGCCCATCCGCCCATCCGCCCATCCGCCCATCCGCCCATCCGCCCATCCGCCCATCCGCCCATCCGCCCGTCCGCCCATCCGCCCGTCCGCCTATCCGCCATGCACCCATGAGCCCACGAGCCCATCTGGCTAGCGCGAACCCCCGCCCCCACCCATCCACACCCATCCGCACCTTGATGAGCCCGATGGTGCCGAAGTGCTCCGCCAGCAGCTCCTCATCCGCGCCCGGGGGCAGATTCGCCACGTAAATAGTGCTCGTTGGCGGAGGCGCTCCCCCCACGCCCCCGCCCCCGCCCCCCCCTCCGCCTCCCCCTTGCGTCCAAGACATGGCAGCGCGAGGCCAGAGGTGTTGCCGTCAGGAGTCTAGAGTTTTTTTTCACGTGGATCTGTTAGTCGACTCAAACAAGGAGGTTGCGGGGACTGCACACCTTCCGGGATTCCCACGTGGGCTGGTGCACAGGAGCGGTGGGGAGGGGAAGTAAGGAAACGGGGGGGAGAATGGTAGCTGGGTGAGTGGGAGAGATGAGAGAGGGGGGGTGAGAGAGCACACGAAGAGAGTAACCCTATTTTCGGTTACTGTGGTAAGAGGGCATATTATGTAAGACTTTATGAGAGCACCTGCTCTTAATGCACTCACCAAAAAGGAGGGTGGCGGGGAGGGGGGGTGTAAGAGAGAGAGGGAGAAAGAAAATCATGCGAAGAAAAGAACCAAATCAATTTTTCGGACCGTCCGATCGCGGATATTCGGAATAGAACACAGCCAACTCTCGCGAGGATGCAAAGCTAAGCCAAAGTCAATGTAATCCCCAGGCAGCAGAGAACTTTTTGTAAGCAAGTCACGCACGGAGTGGAGTGGCGAGGGGCGATTTGGAATGTGGAGGGGCAGTAGGTTGATCTTGGTCGCGACGCGGGAGAAGCATGAGAGAGTGAGAGAGAGGCGGAACGGAGGTAGCACAGGAGGCAGGCTTTCGCGCGAGAACGATTCGTAATGGTTGCTCGTGATTGGGTTTGACGATTAAGGAAGCAATGTCGGTGATCGCCTGGCTTTAGCGGGATCGTCGAATTGATTGAAAGAGGGAATGCAACGCACGAGCCCGAGTGGACACTGCCAGTTAAGCCGCAACGCCTAGCACGGGAATCCACGAAACTAGCAAGTCGAGGAGCTGCGACCACTTGACAGCAGCAAGTAGTTATCTCGAGTGGAGCGTAAGTCGGTGGTCGGTATACTAGCTAACCGCCAACCCTAATATGTCAGGAACGTGTGGGGTGATTCGTTAGTGGATGGTGTATGGTTGTGATCTGATCGAACTTTCATACATCCACTAGCCACACAGGAGCACTGTACCACCAGTGCAGTAACCACGTACTGTCAGCTCCGTTACTGTGGTTAGTTGTTCAAGAAGGTACATCTTGTAATGCAACTAATCGTGTAGTTGTAGTACATTGTGCGAGGAACACAGGGAGATCAAAGCAAATTCCGGATTTCACGCAACACATGGTCCCATTCAAACGGAGACTCGTTCAGCAATGAAGGAACAAGGAGTTGGTGTGCGGTTGAGATGCGCTCTGGCTTCCTATTTTTCCGCCGCCTTTAAGTTTCGACGTTCCAGAGAGTGCCAGGTGTACTCTCGCGGACGGTTTCCTCAGATAATTCTGGATCATTCCCGTCCATTGGAGCTTCCAAGTTGTTGACTTGACATTTAACTCCCCTCCCCTGTGAGTGGCTGACGGCGCGCTGCGTCCCCTGGTTGGGCGGGTTGAGCGACTGATCGCTGGTGTCAGCGGCTTGCGTTGCTGGGCAACGCGAACGCCTCAAATTTCTATCGAACCGCAGCTTATCCGCTCGTGCATGGGACACACGCAACTGAAGCCGCTGTAGAACTACACTTTGGATAAAGCGCAAGCGCGCATGGAGTGAGAGCACGACACGTGGAAAAATCGCCAGGTCGCCGACATTTCCTCACGGTTCCTGGGTGCTTTCTGTTGGAACCTCAGGCTGCGGATCGAGTGACCAACTTCCAATTTCCAGCAGTGACGGGGATTGGTTGTTGGGTTGGGCGGTCAGTGTATTCCGTAACGAAGGTTCTGTACAAGGTACCTTGTTGTGTACACCAGCAATCTCGAGTTCCATCTGTCGATCCATTCAAGAAATATGATTGGACTCGCTTCACATGGACTCCCAGGGGACCCTTGACACAAAGCTGAAGTTTGGAACATTAAATCACGCTCTCGTTACGCTCCGTCAACAACGCCGCAATCTCCGACTTTTACGTTCCGTCATGGTGGTCGTGGACTTGCTATTAGGTGCTTCCGCCCGCTGCCCCCGCGCACAAACAAGCACTGCACTGCCCCCCCACACTGTAGGACTGCGCTCTCCTCCCCGTCCTCCCGTCCCGAAACACCCGGATGAAACTCCGCTCCGCTATTCCCCCCATTTCCCGACGGAGACGCAAGATGGGAGCGGAATTTCATTCCGCGCGGGAACTCCCTCAAACTCGACCACAACACCACCTATTCCCTCCCTCTCCCCCGCACCACCACGTACACTTCCCCCCAACACCCCGCACTCCCACCCGCACCCTTCCTATTTACCTCCTTGCGAAGCGCGGGTCCAGCTGCCTCTGGTGACTGGTCTGATCCGCTCACACAAATAAAAAGGGGTCACTCGACAGAGTGTAAAATGCTCCTGATCATTTCTCCGCTCACATCCTCTTGCTGCCTCTGTCTCCCTCTCTCCGAAGCCATCCCCCTCACTACTTGATCTCCCTCAGTCAGACTTAGACGCTCCCTCAGTCAGACTTAGACCTTACAGCCTTATTCCTCCCGCACAACAGGTTTTACATCGTCACTAACTTTTCATTCGACTGTGTGACCAACACGCCTAATTCCGTTCTTTTGGAATGGCTGTATCCATCCCTCGTAGATTATCATCTCCGTTAGGTCTGAACCCTGCGACTGCTGGTGTGCCGTCCGCTAATCATGGGTCCAACCGTTCTGATCGAGCGTCGATTGGGCATCCACCCTTCTCCGCGTCCTTTGCCGGACATCGCCACTCCAATAACCTACTCTCGGACTGCACTCCAGCAACCCTCAATTCGTCGTCGCACTCCTTCGCCTCCACCTCCAGCTCTCGTCGCCATGCGTCGCACGTCGTTCGCTGCGAGGCACCCGCGAGCACAATCGAGCGCGAGCAGCAGCAGACTCAGCTGTCACAGCCGCTCGTCGTACCTCCGTCGTTCGATTACAACGAGAAGATGAAACGGCAGATGGCGAACCCGTACGAGTACCACCACGAACTCGGCATCTACTACACGCGCGTCCATCCAAAGATCATCGTCGGCTCGCAACCGCAAACTCCCGCCGATATCGACCGATTAAAGGCATCAGAAGACGTGCAAGTGATTCTTAATCTCCAGCAGGACCACGATATAACCTACTGGGGCGTCGACATCGACAGTATCGTTCGGCGATGCAAGGACTTGTCTGTGCAACATTCCCGGTGCCCCGCTGTTGACTTTGACCCGCATTCGTTACGCCGCGAACTTCCGCGAATGGTCGCAGTTATCGCGAAAGCCGTCGCGGAGGGGAAGACCGTCTACGTTCACTGCACCGCGGGCCTCGGGAGGTCCCCAGCTGCGGTAATCGCGTACCTCTTCTGGTTCTCCGAGCCGCAGGTCGACTTGAACTCAGCGTACGATCACGTTACGTCTCTCCGCCCGTGCGGTCCGAAGAAGGACGCCATACGCGCGGCGACGTACGACCTTGCGAAGAACAGCCCGTATCAGCCGCAGTTCGAGCAGCTTCCGGAATTCGCGTTCAATGACGTGGCGCAGTGGGAGAGGGACCTCATCCGTCAACGCGTGTGGGCCCTCGCGTAGCGGAACAGCAGCAGAGTGACTGACTAGACCGGATAGTGTGCCTAGGCTAGCGTGTACTCTAGTCTGGCGGCGCCTAAGCGCCACCAGCTGGAATTTTGCACCGCCACGGGTTCAACGGTGGTTTAGTAGGACTGGCACTAACTCAGCAGCTCGTGTGACCCCGTACAGAGGTTCGTCTTCGTCTCCCGTACCTGCTCCGCTCGCTGCTGCTGAACGCGATTGGTTTTCACCCCAAAGCAAGGCCTTTCCTGGCGGAGGCTGGTAACATCATCAATGCAGTACCTGTCAGGAATGTGCGTGGGAAGTCCGGACAGAGAGTATGGCATGGTGCAGGCACCCACGGCACTGGAATGAGCTTCATGATTCGCCGTGGCTCGTGGTCGCAGTTCCAGCAGATGTGTGGGACATTTCTGCCTCGAGGGAAGGAAAGGACCTGGTTTCGGGGAATTCCCGAAGTTCAGTGAAGTTACCCCTATGTTATTGTCTCTCATGCTGTGGATGAATGGGGCCCAATGTAGGATACCAAAGCTGCATGGTGTTGGTGTCTTAGGGTATTAGGTTAAGGTAGTTAGATGTGTATGGTACTAGGTACACTTCTGGATTGTACATAGCACGCGTCTGTATCTATGTTTGCTGCTCCATGCAAAGAATGCATTGGTACTGTGTGCGTGTACTGAAATCCTACTAAAAGTTGCTGTGCCTTCACCACATTTGCTGTGTCCGTTTCTGTGTCCATCCTTTGGTGGACTCGATTGATGTGTGCCTTGCCTTCACCACTTTTTTCAAAGGCTTTCTTGCAGTGGCATGATACCCCTGTACATCTCCGAGAATACGCAGCAGCCTAGTGCAGGAATGGTACCGGTATCATGCCTCGTCAATACTACGGTACGGTACCATAGTACTTGACGTTTTTTACACAACCATCTGTTGCAACAATGGAGAGAGGAGCTAGGCAAACATATGGACACCGGACTGGAACAGGTAGTGACATGACATGACATGGCAGCCGCATCATGGCTCAATTGGTTGGATTGATTGAAACACGAGGCAACGTACGATAAGAGGAAAGCATGCGAGGCATCCATCCACAATCGAAAGAATCAATCAGCGTCCATCACTCCACATGCGGCAAAGAGCTACACCCTTTCCCCCGCCGCTCCCTTGCCGCTCCCGCCACCAGCAGATCTCATCGGCCACTGCAGAGCCGCTTCCTGTATGTGCATAGTTCCTGCAGCTGGGCGGTGGGTACAGGAACACTGCCGCCTTGATGCACAGCAGCTTGTCTAATATGGCCTGGTTGGGGGAGAGAAGGAGGGGGGAGAGAGAGAGGAAAGGGGGTGCATTTGAATGGAGAACGGGCATGTGTGGGCATGTGAGTTCCTGCAGCTGGGCGGCGGGTACAGGAACACTGCCGCCTTTATGCACAGCAGCTTGTCTAATATGGCCTGTGTTTTGAACGCTTGGCTTGGTTAGGTCAGCAGAGTGGGCAGGCATTACGAGTCAGCTTGAGTCGGAAAACACACTATTCAGCAGTGCAAAATTGTACATGTCATGTCATGTCATGTCATGTCCAGATTTGTACATATTGTACGGCACTAACGAGTACGGCACTAACGAGTGTACAATATGGACAGCAGCAAGTACCTGCACTCCAATGTCCGCCTCTCTTAGACCCGAAAGAAACGATTCGAGCCAGGGGGGGGGTGTCGCAGCCTGTTGAGGCGCCTCAAAAGTCGTCTCTCTACCCGCAGTGAGACCAAGACAGAGACAGAGACAGAGGCATACCTGCACTCCAATGTCCGCTTCTCTTAGACCCGGGAGAAGCGATTCGAGCCGGGGGGGTTGTAGCCGGGAGAAGAGCTCCTGGTGAGGGTGGGAGGGTTGCGAAGTCCGGAAAGGTGGGACGGGTGAGAGTTTCGGAAGGGAGGGATGGGGCGAAGATGAGAGAGAGGAGTGGACGAGGCATAACGAGCAGACGAAGGGGATGGGGATAGTAAACTTGCTACGTGCTGTATGGTACCGGTAATGCGAGGAGGAGAAAC